CCCCAAAACCCCAAAACCCCAAAACCCCTTTCCAAATCTCCCATTGTATATAATTTAAAAAGATGGCCTCCCTCTTCTTCATCCTCAACACTCTAATCCTCTTCGGGCTTTCAAGATCTTTGTTTGTAGAGTACGAATATACCAAAGACAAGTATGACGAAGCTCTCGATATTCATGCTCTTGATGATGAATTAGTCTTAATGGATTTCAAGTTCGATTATAATATCGGATACAAAGTAAGTAAAGAGGTTTATGGATTTAGACACAGAAAGATATTGAGCTAGGTATGCAAGCTGGGAAGCTTGGGTTTAACAATTTAGATGCAATGAACCAATACCAGATCCAAAATTTCCCTCTTGAACTGATTCGTCTTCTGCAGCATTCAAAATTTGAGAGGATAGAGTTCAGAAACACACAAGGAAGGTGGGATGAAAATATCTGCCCTAAACTTCTTCATGGATCAGAAGAAGGCCAATATTCTTGTAGGATAGAGGGAGTAGAGACTTTCCAACCAGGCTTTAGTTTCCTCTTCGATTTTGGAGATAAATTAGGTACATAAGTCTTTGAAACTTTTAGATTCTCCTGAGTCAAATTTTGAGGATCAAAAGTCAGCAAATTTTTACATAAATGAACTTTCTGAGATATTTGGAGTAGACAGAAACAGATCAGTGAATAATATCCATAAGTTTTCATACACTGACGATCCTCTGTCGAGGTCACAATTTTATTATTATGGAAATCTGAAGGAAGAACTTTGTGATGACAACTTAGTTCATATGTTCAAATATCTGAATTCTTCTTGAGGTGATACTGGGATTCATACTTTCTTTAATAGCACGCTGTTTCAACATTCCCAATACAAAAGGTAAGTCAGAATATGACATAATAGTGTGTCCTTCAAGATGATCCACAATAAGGATGAGAAATCCTTTGATGTGAAGTTCAGGGTCAATTTTATAGTGACTAGAAGATTCTTGCTTGGCATTAAATCTCAACTGAAAGAAATTACTCAGAGGTCCACTGAAATCCAATCTCTTATCCATTCTCGGTACAAGGATGAGAACTTCTACTCGTGTCTGAATGGGGATAGCAGCAAGATAACCCTCCATCAAGGACATGGTAAAATTTGGGTAACTTTTAGAGTCTAAAACCTTGCTAAAAGCCGATATTGGAATCGATTACAATCTTAAGCTCCTTCTTGGTTGGATAGACTACTCTTCTATAACAATTTCAAAAGTTGGAACTGATGACTTAGTGAGTAAGAAGTATCTAAATGATATCTACTTTGACCGGGAGATGTCCTTTGTACACCATATCACCAATAGATCTAATAAAACTTATGAAATCTCCACTTTTGAATTTTTCCCTCATTATCTGAAAATGTACACAAAGGACATTCAGATTGAGATTCATCAGAGTGATGGGACAAAGAGGGATCACAGATATTACCAGATATCATTCGAGAAAGCCAGCATTGGCCTCTGGTTCAGATTCTCCAACATCACTCTTGCACCTGAAGAGAGAATGGTGATGACCCTAAAAATCCAAAAGAAAATGATCAGTGCTGAAAGTATGCCTGCTGATATTTCTCTCGATGCGAATGTTCCTCCTCTCCCTATGCTTTACAGGGATATCAGCGAAGTAAGAAAGGATAAACAAGCAATCAAAACTACCTTCAGTCAATCCTGGATGGTAGTAATCATGGAACCAGATGCTTCAATGGTGTTCAACCTAAACGCAATGTTCTTCGGTGTTCTTGGAGCTAGCATCCATTGGCTTTTCACTACCACTATCGATATCAAAGATCTAATCGGGATTTAAACTGTTCAATATACCCACCGATTCCAGGGGTTTTGGGGTTTTGGGGTTTTGGGGTTTTGGGG